TCGCTCCACCGTTCGTTCTGGATCTCGCGGTTAGTTGAGCATCTTGGTATAAATTAGCTCTCCCATTTTTTTTATTTTTTTTTTTTTTTTGGGGGTGGGGGACCAGGTGTTTGGAATTTGGATTGGGCTCAACCGTTCAAGTGCTATGTACTGCTCCTATGATTTTATCTAGTATTTGAACTTGTAAATGTTGGCGCAAATTTTCACAAACACAGTTGAAGTAAGAGGAATTTGAGAATGACTTATAATTTAAAATAAAATAGAGTACTATGAATTAGCATAAAGCTATTTCCATTCAAATGAAACATAAGAACATTTCTAAGAGTCTTTCTTTAAAACATCCCCAAGAGATCCCAAAACAAGCTCTCAGTTCATGGTTTATGGCGATATTGAAAAAAAAACATACCAATCTTTTGGCACTACGAAAAATCGACCCCGTCGTGCGAATAAATACATGCATGCATATCCATCCCATCAATCTAAGGTGAAAGAATATGAAAAAAAATAAGAAGTAAGATAGGGTTCCTGATACAAATGTTCAAGACAAAAAGAAAGTATAAAAATGTTTGGAGGTGGTTTAGAAATAGTTTGAGAATCTTGATGTAAAACCTTTTATCTTGAGGAATGAGATTTTGGAAACTATTGGAGGAAACCAAACAAATATGCTCCCAACTTTTTTTAGTCACTTGAAAAACCCATTAGTTTACCAAGTTATTTTTTACAAACGGTTGGAGATGCTCTTAACTAACTATTTAAATTATCATGTAACAAGTTATTTAAATAGAAATTATTTTCCATATATACTTTATTTTCCAACAAATTTTATATATCTAATATGAAGTACGTACTCTAGAGAGTTAATCCCGCTTACGGTGTTAGTGAAGGGTGAAGAAACATAAGGGTGTCTTCAGATAAATCTACTCTCGACGCCCCCTAACTCTCCTACAACTGTGTTTTCTTTTACCACCGACAATAATTATGGAATTTGTTATTGAGTTTTCTTTTACCACTGATATAATTACGGAATTTACTAGCGAGATGGGCTTAAGGAGCTCTTCTGGGAAGAAGATGCTGATATTATCTCGGCACTACCGGTTCACGAGGGAGGGGAGAATTTCTTAGCATGGCACCCTGACAATCACGGCCGATTCACTGCAAAGAGTGATTATTTAGGCCTCGTTTGGCACAGCTCAGCTTCATCATATAAGTTGTTTTTTTGCAAAATAGTTTCATGAGCAATTTTTTTTTGTTGAAGCTGAATTATTTTGGAACATGTGTTTGGCAAAACAACTTCACATAAATAGAATGGCTATAATATGGGAGATGAAGCTAGGATAAGCTATTTTTTTCAGCTTTCTCCCTACTCATATCTTTGTGACAGAAGGAGAAAAATAAGCTGTTTTAAAAATAAGTGATTAGCAAATAAAAACAGCTCATAAAGCTGTTGTGTTGTGCTGATTTTCTACGGAATAGAAGTCTGATTCGGAGCAAAAGGGGGCAGTGGCAATGCTTCTTACTCCAATTGGGAAAAGATTTGGCAGCTAAAGTGCCCAAGTAAGGGGATGTTTGGTTCTTTAGTCGCTCCTAAAATTCATGTCAAATCGAATATTTAGATACTAATAAAGAGCATTAAATATAGATTAATTATAAAACCAATTACATAAATGGAGGCTAATTTGTGAGACGATTTTTTAAGCCTAATTAATATGTCATTAGCCAATGTTTACTGTAGCACCACGTTGTCAAATCATAGACTAATTAGGCTTAAAAGATTCGTCTCGCAAATTAGTCGCAAGTTGTGTAATTAGTTTCGTAATTAGTCTATATTTAATACTACATGCATGTGTCTAAACATTCGATGTGACAGGAATTTTAGGAGCGCAGGCCTAAAGCTAAGGGCACGTACAACAGTCCCTTAACCCCGTCCCTTCAACGTAATTTTTATAGAAAACACCCCGCAGGAGTCTGGAGACGGAGTCGGCGTCGCCTCACGAGGCGATGGGAACGTCCCGTGCTCCGAGGCGGAGAAGACGGCTCTAGCAGCGATGTACGGCCCGCCTCCCTCCTCGACTCGTCGCTGCGCGGATCCCGGGCGCTCGCACGCGTGGTTGTGGTTTGGCCGCGCGCGGGAAGGAACTATCGCGGTTGTGGTGTTGCGCTGCTCCTCGGCGAGCTGCGACGGCTGGACCCTGTTGACGGCGGCCATGGTGACCGCAACCGTGGCCAGGAGCGCCCCCGCGGAGACCTTGAGCGCGGCCATGGCCGGTGTGGCAGGCGCCAACGCGGCCATGACGGAGGCAACAAGCGTCAGGGAGTCGGTGGAGTGGAGCAACAGGTCGATTGATTTCCTTCCTCCGGGATCTATTCTACCTTTCCATGATTTACACCTGATGGCTTGAAGAGAGCTTGGAGAGGAATTGAAGTCTGTTTTCTTTCTCTGATGAACTATCTGGGCTTCCATGCTATGATCTACCTTGCCAGATGATTCTGTACTGTTAAGTTTCTGAATGTCCTGAAACTTTTGTTCAGTTAAGTTTCTGGAAACTGGATGACGGTGATATTTCTGTATTGTTAAGTTTCACTTAAACTTTTCTTCAATTATAAACTAGATTGATGGTGGTGATATTTCTGTACTGTTAAGTTTCAGTTAAACTTTTCGTCAATTATAAACTGGATTGATGGTGGTGATATTTCTGTACCGTTAAGTTTCGGTTTTACTTTTGTTCAATTAAACTGGATGGATGGTGGTGATATTTGTGTACTTTTGTTCAGTTTAAGTTTCTGAATGTCCTGAAACTTTTCCTGAATGATGATGTGCTGATTTTAGTGCCCATATTCCTAATATTTTTTCCACTCTTTGTTTCTCAACTTTTCAGCAAAAAAGGCAGAGGACAATAAGCACAAAGAGACACTTAGATGCTGATTTTTCTGATGAATGAATCTGACAAAGGCTACCAATATGCTTCTATCTGTAATGCTATTTGTTCTCATAAAACTGAGATCACCGTCTACATTGTGTGAACTCACTCCCTCTTTGATCATCTTGGGAAAATTTGGCGAATGAGTGATTGAATGTTTTGGTAGAGAATATTTACGCCCTCCAAAAGCAATGAACAGAAATTCCGCTATCAGAGCTTGGCCAACACATAGAAAACTCAAGAAGGATCTAATCGAGCACATATGGCAACGCTATGGAAAAAAGGAAATTAGACAGACGGCGTTGCGACTATGTATAGCACAATTATTATATCGATGGTTTTAAAAAATATATTGTAATCATGTTGCTCGTATTTATCCTTATTATATATTTTCTATCAAATAGCCACATAATGGTATGCAAAAAATTATTTATAGTTGATCCTAACTACATGCAAAACATTAAACAGCTTAGAGACAGAGCCCCGTCTGTTGGGTTGTATGACATATCTTTATACATATGTCTGTACATCATAATCGAAGCGCTTAGAGATGAACCCGTCTGTAGACGGACCCCGTCTGTGGGTTGTACATGCACTAAGCATTTTCTCTGGCGCATGTCTCATGTATAATCAGCTAGGGGCAATCTTGCACATCGCGGCATGAAAATTGAGGTAAAGTGTCTAGTCTGTGAGAGCCGAGGAAGATGGAGGGCACTTATTGTTCAAATGCAGAATGGCTTAAGACCCGTTCGTTATATGAGGAACGACGGGCAGGAAGAGTTCCTGGTCGGAATCACTATTTAATTTGTATAAGCTTTCAGTAGATGGAATGATTCCTGGCGTGATTTTGCCTGAACCGAACGGGCCCTTAAGATATATGGGGATTCCTGAACCTAAAGAGGGAACGGATGGCGCTGGCTACTACATCGCATGTCCGAGACAACTTTGAGTTCATCATGAAAACAAAGGAGGACCGAAGGATGCTGATGATCATTGCGCTTTGGTTCACTTGGAATGAACGGAATCTAATCCGTGTGTGTGTGTGTGGGGGGGGGGGGGCGACGACAGGGAGCAGGATTCCTCGGCGAAAGGAGAAATGGAGCAAACCACCAACGGGTTTCCTAAAACTTAATTGTGACGCGTCCTTCCTGCCTGGTTCATCGTCGGGCAGCTAGGGTTTCTTCATCCGGGATTGTGACGGAGATGTGGTCGTGTCCGGATAGGGGAAGATAGACCATCTACTGAATGCTTTCTAGGCCGAACTCATCACCTGCCTCAAGGAATACAGAAGGCGATTGATTTGGGTATTGGGCACCTAATTGTTGAGACAAATGCGATAATGGTGGTTCAAGCAGTCACAACCGATGACTTCGATGATGTTGTTTTTTTAGTGCCTGTTTGAAGGACGAGATTGTAACCAAGCCGCTCATGCATTTAATTGCGTGGTATTTGTTTGTTTAGTGAGAGGAGCGAATCATAAGTTCTATTCCTGAAAGCGTACGTGTAATTGTTGCTAACAATTTGTTAGCAGCTGTAATGAGATTACACCCAGTTTCAAAAAAAAAAACGTCTAACCATGGTGTGTAACAGTATCAAATTAGTTGCTCTAGCTTTATGTACCTGTCCTGGTAACTGCTTTTGAGGTTCAGCACTTAACTACTTAAGTACACTGTTGTTCTTTTCACTGGATTCCTGCTCTAATCGAGGTTATGTATTCCCGAATTGATGGTAACAAGCACGTCAGAAATTCTTCTGTGACGCGACCAAAAAAAAAACGAACAAACAAAACCAGGATGATATTAGTAATGCAACATTGCATTAATTAATGCAGGTAAGAATTATAGAATGGTGGGATCGATACACTGAATTTTCAGTACACTTGTTTTCCTCACATAATAACTTAGCATTTTCAGAGTTCCGGAAAGATGGAACTTGGCTTCCACTAAAGAAAATGCAATGACATCATACGCTATACACGATGGTTCTCAGATGACTTGCCTCCGAAGGAGGCTACAAGCTGTCTACTCTTGCACAGCAGTCAGGAGCGAAGCAAAACATGCTGATGCAAAACATTTGACGCCATTAGCGTCTGCACCCGCCACTAGCCAGATCACATCCTCCTCGTCTGCTTATTGGCTGCTTGCTTTCCACCTTCCTCTCGGTTCTTTCTTGAGCTCCTACAATGGCCATTGTGAGGTGATTCCTTGACCAGTTTACCTACACATACATAGAGTAATAGAGAGCAGCAACAAAAATTGCTGAACTTTCCAATATCTACTCATCAGAATATGCTCTTCCCAACTAGGGATGCAGCCGAGCAAGCCTCATGACACTGTCCGGCCATAACATATTGAAGCAATGTAAAGGTTCTTGGCCCATTTCTCCTGAAAAAGACCCAGATTATTTTGTCGACGTTAGAAGGGTGATTTGAGTCCCTGCTTCTGGATGGGCTAGGCCACATGCCAAGTTGAGACAAAATCACAGCAACTTTAACACAAAAAAACCCTAATTTTCAGTTCAAATAAGCGCCCTAGTTTTGACAGCGTAGTCAAGGATAAAAATATATGATCATACCTTCACATGGTTGCTTGGAAAAGCAGACGTTCTAAGAGTTTCTTGTGTCTCGTCCATTAACTTTCTTTTAGGTATACTCAATATGAAAGCAGCTTGATCACCAGTGGCTGCTGTAGAAGTTATTCTATATCCGTTCTCCCATCGTCGGTGAATACCTTCACTAGGATAAAGAAAATCCAATTCCACTACCTGCATTGCATAACAAAAAAGAAAGCACAATCAAATTGATTTCAGATAGCAGATAGTTTCAAATACCACACAGTTCTATTATGTATCCTGTTTCCTGCAGTGAGTCACTTCTGTTTAAAAACCAGATAGTTTCAAATACAGTTCTATATGCAGCTGCTACTAGAAGTACCATTGCAAAATATGTATTTAACTGTGCATTGGCCAAAAACAACTTCCACAATACCTGTTCAGAGTATCCAGAGTTCCTTGACATAACTACACCCCAGCGGCTTCCTGCAGTTGTCATTGATGTAACATGAAAACCTTCTTTCCATTTCTTGTTGATCCACTTGTAGGGGAATGATTCACTAACTTTGTAAGACTGCTGAGTGTAAGGAGTTCCTGCAAAGAGTAAAAAGGTTCAAGTAATGTAACTCATGTGGTAATTCTAAACCGAAATGCACAGATAAATCAACGCAGACAAGGCAAACTGGCAAAGTGAAAGGCTACAGAAACAGGCCAAATATCTATAGAATCACAGAAAATTGTTACTGTCAGCCCAAAACTAGTGTTGTGCTTGCATCTAACAGTATAGAAGTGGAGCATCTTCATCAAGTCCTTCTGGAAAAGGACAATTTGAGGCCCTGATTTTAGAACCACGACATATCAAACATTCATGTGATTTGTTTTCTTGTGCGTACACCCGTTCAAGCGCCAGATAGGGTTAGACTTGGGTCGGGCCAAAAAAACCATCGTTTTTTGCTGGCCCAGACCTGACTGGCAGACGTGCCAGGCCAGATTTTTTTTGGCCTGTGCCCACCTGACAGATGCATCGGGTTGGGTATTTTCCCAGGTTGAGATGGTTTCGCTATATTGGGTAGGGTTTTGGATCAAAAAATTCAGCCCACACCCGACCCAGTGTCCAGACTGAAATCGTGGCCCATGCCCACCCAATACACTGGTCAGGTCAACCAGTCAATGATCAGGTCTACTTGTGTGTATTCTCAATGTTATCTTGTAACATATCTTGAAACTAGAAAGCAAACAAGAACGTGAAAACCACCAGGATCCAGTTATAACCAATTGCTTTGCATGCCATAGCATACATGAGTCAGCATAGAACATTTAACTGTGTATATGTTTGGTCAGTAACACTGACAGCAGTAGGCACCACCCAAAGATTTTTCATATGAATGTAATAAATATGAGAGGCCTCCAATACAGCCATCAATTGGGACATACCTTTTGACATGACCACCAAGGAACTCCCGTTCGTTGCACCAGCTATGGCACTGATGTAGTAGTTATTTTCCCACTGCTCCATAATCCAATCCTAAAGTGCAAGAAAAGGCACCTTGTAGCTTAAAATGTAGCCTTGCTTAGAAAAGCACTATGCTTGAGAATTGAGACCATACCTTATGAAGGAATATGGGTGACAGTTCATATACTTGGGATGTGAAACCAGTCCCTGCATCCATAATGAGGGCCCAAAGATTTGCTGAAGATGCTACCGAACTAATGAACAATCCATCTTCATTACCCTTCTCCACGTGTTGATGAAGTCTGGCATCTGCTACATTGTAATGGTATCTGAAAGGAAAGAAAGCATTTTAGAGCATAAAGCCATATAACTACTTTAAAAGGGCGTACCCAATGCAGAGAGCTCCCGCTCTGTGCGGAGTCTGGGGAAGGGTGTCAGTGGCAAGCCTTACCCTCGCCTGTGCAATGCGAGGAGACCGCGACTCGAACCTGGGACCTTCCGGTCACAGGCGGTAAGACTCTAGCGCTTGCACCAGGCCCGCCCTTCAAAGCCATATAACTACTTTAGATGATACATTTTACTTAATAACTTATAATCTACAGTTGTGGTACATTCTCAACTGTCTTTTTTCCAGGACATTTAAAACGGCAAAGCACTATAAAAATTTTACATGGTTGCTGTTAGTAAAAATCTGCAGTTGTGAATGCAGCACAACTGTGTGCATATAGCATCTATTGCTCGTCAATTGTCAAAGACCAGGGAAACATCTCAAAATGTTTAGTGATAGTTAAGACTAGAAGCTTCCCAAGGAGGTAACTCCTTCCACATTCAAACAGATTACCATAGAGAAGCAAAAACAGATGTACTTGCGTGGACAAAAGTCCATGAAAAAAAAAAAAAAATATATATATATATATATAAACATTGAAATGTCCACACAAAATCATCTCATATAGGAGGTATGGAGTCAGGACCACCACAAGCAGGGTCTAACTTGAAAATTGAGCATATCATGACAAGATACATAATGCATACACCCAAAAAGACTATTATTTACTTAATTACCTCTGCTTCATGGGCCTTCTAGCATTATAAACCGAAATCCACTGATTTGCTGGGCTTCCAAGTCGAACTTTCTTCTTCGGTTGCTCATCTTCTTCTAGATTTACAAGCAATCTTCCACGCTTTTGTCCAGCCTACATATGAAAGTAATCGAATGCAAAATTAAGCCAGATATCCAGTAAGTACAAAAATGCATAAAACAACTGTATAAAAAAAAAAGAAATGTCATTCCTTGTGGTAAAAAACAAACCTTCAATGCACCATCAATTCTAATAGGTCTCAAATGCTGGGGCTCAATCAATTCATCGAAAAGGGAAATAAGTTTTGAGTAATTTGGTTCTTCATCAAATTTCATGTTTGTCACAGTCTCCAGGAAGAGTTTGAATGGAGGTGGGCAAAAACAGCATAATAGATCTGGAGAGGTAGCCATTTTCTTCTTGCTAACAAGAAAACTCTTGTTCTCACCCTGCAAAATAAAGCAGTATTCAAACACTACTTCAATCTATATGTGAATTCAGACATAAAAGACAAGAGAAAATGGCTTCAAGCGTGTAAATATGACAATGAATAAGAAAGTCTGCATAGTCAATAACCAAAAGAATGATTCAACAATCTCATCCAAAGAAAGATAGCAAACCTGATAACCTTGCCACGGCAACCTTCCTCTAAGAAGAAATATCAATGTATATGCTAATGATTCCAGATCATCCCTTCTGCTACCAGTACGTCCTAAATGCGCATGGACACTAGCGTATCTTATTGTACCTCTGTTGAGGAAGGGGCAAAGTAAGATCAGTGTATTGAAGGGAAATGAAAAACACACTATTTGGTAAAGAAAAAAAACAGACCTGAAAATATCTGGTTTCTGATCATATTCAACATGTTGTCCAGATGACCCTGCTTCCTTCCATCTAGATGCTGACAGTGCAAATGGAAGGAATGAAAAACTTGTTAACTCAAATTTTAGATCAGCATTGGTATATAACAAGTTTAAAGCACATGTGAAACATAGCTCACAGAATATTAACAAAGAGCAGTGCGACAAACTGGTTAGACCATCTTAACATTTGCAAGCAAAATATCTATCACAGGAGAAGCGCCATGACGTACCTAACCCAAGATCAATCAGAAAAAGTTTTTTCTCGTCAGGGGATCCAGGCTGACCAAGTAGAAAATTCTCGGGTTTAACATCTCCATGAACAAACCTGACAGAAAATTACCAATAAATAAATAATTGGGAGATACAGTATGTCAAATAGAATTCAGTAAATACACTAGTCACCCTTTTGCATGAAGTTTCTCAAGTATAGAAATTGCCTCTACAGCAATGCAAGCAACCATATTAGCTGTCATCCTGAATCAAATATTGGTGATCAGTCAGCTTAGAAGAACATGAGTGAAACAAAGCAGACAGAAAATATCATCTTACGTCTGCCCAAATGAATTCCAGACATCCCAAAGGCTGGGCCCTAGAATATCCATCACCTGGAATAATTGTAATGCTTAGTTCTTTAACTAAGTAATATAAACTCAGATTCAACTATGCATATATATACATAAGAACTAACCAGAACATAGTAATCTCCTTGCCGACCTTTGTAATGAACCCATGGTACACCATAACACCCGTTCAGAGCACTTGAAGCAGATGCACAACAAAAACATTAAAATTAGTAGGATGACTACTAAGATTTGTACTAATAAGTAATAACATCATATACTGCTATCATATTTAACAGAATGCTGCCAAACAAACAAAACAACAAAGAAATGACAGAGTTCAATAGTAATGAATGGAGCCATCAATGTACCTTAGCCATTCAATATTTTGGGTTTCAGGATAAAATGTAAGTCCAGAGTTACTGAACCAAACACAAAACTATAACGACGATTCGTATCGCCATGTTTCAAAGTACATTTTTCATAACTATGATCCCTAAAGTTCTTCTGTAAGAGTGTAATATACACTTTCAGCTTAATATGATGTAATTACCTATAAACTTGCCACTCATATGGAGGGCCATAATTGCAGCCCTTACTGTTTCGGTGCTCAAATTTTAAAGCAACCTGTGGTCAGTAAGCCATGTATCAGTGTAACTTTCATAGAAGAGGATATATTTTTTAAGTAACTTCAAGGGTAAACTATATATAAACCTCATAAGCATCAGGTCCAGTGCGCTCTGTTCCCCCAGAAATCCTTCTGCCAACATATACTTGCCCAAAACCACCTTTTCCCAACTTGCGCTCAACCTTGTACTGCGGAGAATGGCCTACTTGAACCTGCAAATGATATCTATCATTTAAAGGAGACCAAATTTTCAAATTCAGTTATACACTTGCAGTTCTAACTTTTGGCACCATTGGCCAGAGCTGTCAGTTCTTACCAATTACCAAAATATATTACTAATAAAACATATTCCATGAACCTGGAGTACATGGCCACTTTTTACTTTTTAGCAATCCAAGCATTTGTTGGTAAGATTCTCATGTTTGAATTTATATCTTCCAAGTAGAGTGAAAAAAATCATGCTAGAATTTGAGGCATAGGTGAGTTATTTGCAGCACTAGGCATTTTTTACTAGATGTAGTAAATTAATCTCTGACAACTACATGTAGTCCGGTACTATCCAGTTTTAGAGTGCTCAAGAGCTGATGACAGATGTGAGCTCTCTATACCTTTTATAGCAAGTCCTTGCTATATCTCATAATACAAGATTCAATACTTTGGACGTAAAATACTGTAATCTGTCCTATTTACAGATGCAAGAAAACAGGCTTTATCATGTTCACATAACTTCTCTTCTACATACAACTCGATTCACCTAGTCAACAAAAAAAAGCCTGGACTTAACACTTTGATCTAAAATAAGGGCATGCTTGGTTTCTTTGCGCACCCTGCCTGGCCTTACCTAGTAAAGGGACAAGAAGGTACTGTTAGTTCCCTTGCTTGGTTTGATTTGAGCAAGCTGGGCAAGGATTTCGTAGCTTTTGATGGAGACCGAAAATGTCTCTCTTCAAGTAGCAAGGTTTGCCTTGACCAACCTTGCAAACCAAGGCCAGTGGGCAAGGTTGGGCAATAAAACCAGACATGACACTTTCAGTTGATTAAATTAAGTCTAGAGGTAGACATAAGTGATGTAATAATTTATACATCTGAAACCATGCAAGATATGATGCTAAGTTTAGAGGAACAAAGCAACTGCATCTACAGACACTTATATCATTGGAAGTGGCCTGAGACAAACAAAACATGAATGCAGGATGGTGCACCTACCTTGACACATGTGACTGACACTCTGACAGTATGTAGTTACACTAAGCAACACGTTAAGTGATCTAATGTTAAAGGAATAGCACTGTTTTCCTCAGGAGAATGGTACCAAGCCATATTGAATCCATAACTTTCTGTTTTGTTACCAGCTCCAAACTTCTTTAGGTCAATACATATCTGATACACAGGCTATCCCATAAATCATGAAATCGCTACACCTCCAGCTAAAGAATTGTGCATATTAATATGAGCATTTCATTCATTCATTCTCATTAGAAATCAAGAAGATAATCATTACAGACATATAACCATTACAACAATGATAGAGTAAGGAAGAAGGTGCTGATTTTTTTGTCACTTGACTCTTGATGGTGTAAGATAGTTAATATATGTAGGTTTCAAAGATGCATAATGAGTAGCTGCATGGAAAATAGGCACACATATGAACTACATTTTTAAAAAAAAATCTGTATGATACCATACTCCATGTGCCATGTGACACCTTGTCACAATATATATTTTGTCATTATTATCCCATTTTCTAAGATAGCTTCGCTGCCAAAACTAACCTCAATGGCAAGAAATGACACTGCTATGGAAATCATGCAAGTGAAGATACACAACCAAATAGGGCAAGCAAAACTGCATAAGAAGAGCATACCTTCTCTGGGACTGGAGATGTAGTCCCTTCATCTTCACCTGCAGCAATCTTCTCAGCACTCCCACCATCCATCTTCACAACCTTATCAGCAAAGTCTTGAATGGGCTGTGCCCCACCTGCAGCGCGGCCACCAACACCAGCTCCTGGAAGAACCTCACAAGGCTGGTCAGGATCTAAGTCAATCACTGGAACACCTCTTCCTCTTCCTCCCCTTCCCCGTGCTGCTCCTCTCCCTCCACCCCTCCCACCCCTTCCTCTACCACGCCTTCCTGCCACCGTAGGTGCTGCCACAACCAAGTTGTCGGTAGGGTCCTGAGCCACAAGATCCTCAACCTTCTTCGCCCTCAACCGAGATTGCCGGACTCCACTACGCAACTCTGGCATCCTTTCTCCCCATGCACTTTCTATCGCATACGAATCTGTCAATCGAAAACGACAACAGCATCGTTAAGTAGTCAATACACTGGTACTAGATTCTACTACCAGCTCATCAAACATAAAATATCACTGGAAACATGAGAAAACACATCTGGATAAATAAGTACCGATCGAGCAAGCACAAACAAGCCTTCATTTATTTGTGATCGACGTCTAGGACTAATGCAAAGCTACTGACCCTTGTCCCAGTTGCGGTGAAACAATCTACGCAAGCCATGACATGAGATTTCCCAACAGTCAGCTCCCCACTATCTCTCTCCTCCCCAAATCCTATCCCGATCTCCTCCACACGAACTCCTCTCTCGAAAAACCGATCAAAACACGCGCGATTAACGCACGCCAATACATCACCCACCTCATCGAAACCCGCCAGGCCGCCCCCAGAAAATCTCTACGGGTACCAACAGCAACCGAGGGGACAGAGGCCGCCCCCAAAATTTCCGCCACGAAACGGGGAGATCGGCGGGCGCCGGAGCGATCCCCGCGCGATCAGACACCACGGCCGCTAGGATCGGTCGGCGCCGCGCCGATCGTCCGCGCCCGCCTCGTCCTCCTCCGCCACCGCCGCCGCCGACACGCTAGCCAATCCGTGACGCGGTGCCCGGCGATCGACCTGGGAGGAGGGACGGATGAAAGGGTAGGGTCCGGCGCTTACCTCGGGGAAGGAGACCGTGCGGCGGCGGCGGCGAGGTGGGGATGCGCGGAGGGATGGGTCGAGGGTGGGGGGAGGTTGGTGTTTGGTCTCTCGCGCAGACACACACACCGCTGCGCTGTGGCTGGCTGTCTGGAAGGGAGAGGAGAGGGGGCTGGCTTTTTGAAGGCTTCGCGTAATCACGTTGTTAATTTCCCGTTCCTCCGGTTTGGAAGGCAGCGAATGCGCATGCATGCGCGCTCAGCTGGATCCAAGGGCCACCATTCGCCGGGGCCGCCTCGAGGCGCCATGGATAACGTGCATCGCTCGGTGGGGCCTACCGCCCAGGTCTGTCAGCAGCACCAGTAGTAAGATTTTTTTTGTAGCTAGAAGGGTCCGTATCACCTGTCGCCGTGAAGTGTGTGCGTTGGCGTTGCTACTTCTGCCCATCGCTTCTTCTTCTTTTTTCATATAATACGATTTTGCCTTGCACTCAAATGTGTGTCGGGGCGATGCATGCTCTGATTTTTAGCTAGGAACGTTACCACTATTAATCTTGCTTGCATATTTTGGAGTATGGGATCTTAATCGATATATTATTTGTCGGTGCAGAAAGTGACCAACAAATAAATATTTGTAGTTTTGTCGTACGTTGTGATCGGAGGTGGCCTAGCACTCAATGACACAGGGTTTATACTGGTTCAGGCAACGTGGCCTACGTCCAGTTTGAGTCGGTAGGTGACTTTATTCCTGAGCCCAGGTGCTTGAAGTCTGCAGTGGGTTACAAACGAGAAGGAGAAAGATGGAGTGTACGAGAGGTCCGGTGTAACACCCCGGTGTTATGCTTACATTTAAGCACTGCAAATCATGCATATCATGCATCATCAAGCATCCTCATCATACATGCATAATCTTGCATATAATAACTGAAACATTACTTCGAAACATACGAAACATGTTTGTGAAACGTAAATGATGCATACACTTATTAGAGTTGTTTTGCTCTGATTCTTGCTTGCTAGGTTAGTAGAACATGTTTGGCTGCTATTGTAAATCATCTAGCAATGTTTAGTTCAATTTTTGGAGCAATGTTTGTATTCAAATTAATTCAAAATTTGGCTTCAAAATGAATTCCAAAAATTAGGGTTTTGAGCTAAACGTGGACTTTGATCTTTCAATTCAAAATCTAAGAAAGAATTGGTCTGTGGTCCTAAAAGCAAAGTTGTAGAGAATTAAATTCTAAGCAACTTTCATTTTTGGTACATTTTCAAAAGAGGTCATCTTCTTACTCAAAATAAGATTTGAAAGTGGCTTTTAAAAAGTTCTTGAAAATATAAATGAAAAAGAGTTTTTTATTTTTTGCAGGCGCAGCCTCCTTTTCGCCCGACCCATTAAGCCGGCCAATGAAGCCCATGTAGCGCCTCGCCTCGGCCCGACCCAGCCTTGACCCGCCCGCCACCTCATGTCAGCGCCATCCCCTATTTCCTTTCATGCGCATACACAGCCACGGCAGCCGAAGACGTCCACGCCAGCGTGGCGACCGCATCGCAGCGTCAACCGCCATGCACAAGCGGCCATGGCTCGACATCGCGCCCACGCGCCCCGCCTTCACTGCGATGCCCGCGACTTTCGCCCACTCGCGCCCACACTTCCTCTTCTCCCCTCCAGAGCCGAGAGCTCGAGCTCGCCCTCGCCGCCGCGCCGCCACCGCGCCAAGCTCTCGCACCGCCCGCGTCATTTTCCGATTGCTCGCGCCCACAGCACGCCTCGCCTCCTCCTTCGGCTCACGCTTTCGCGCTTAACGCCGCCTTCCGAGCCTGGTGAGCCTCCCGCGCCCTCGCCGCCCGACGTCCATGGCGCCCATGCTTTCGGCCGCCCGTGGGCGCCCTCTTCCTCCCCTTCTCGGTCGTGTTAGTCACTGCTCATTTTCGCCATGGCCTCGCACACCTATTAAGCTCGCTTGCTTGCGCTACCGCCATGGCCGGAGAGCGGCCGCATTGCCGGCCAGCCGGCCCAAGTCCCAGCGCCAGCACATTCCTCGGCAAAACACTCTGCCTCTACCGGGCAGCGGTAAGCCAGAAAAAGCGACCATGGGCGAGGCCTCTGCCAGTCAGCGCGCCCCCCTCGCTCGGACCGCGCGGGCCAGATGCGGCCGTGGGCCAGCTGATTTCCAGCGGGCTGGCCCAGTAGTGTTTAAATGAATTGTTTTCAATTTATTCATTATTATTTGAAAACAGAAATGGTTTGCAAAATATTTGGATACTCAAATTTGCTCCAAATTTGTTGAAACAAATTTTGCTAGGTTCCTTATCATCAGATCTACTTGGGAAAAATTGTGCATGTCATTTTTGAGATACTTTTCTATAGGATTTTATTTAATCTTGAATATTGCTGATAACTTGAAAAATATGTAGAAAAATATATAGGCTTCAGAAAAATATGATTCCAAGTTTGTTAATCTTCTTATGTCATGTACTTCCTAGGAAAAATATGTTTCATGCATGTGCTGTGGGAAAAATTTGAGGTGTAGTTCAAGTACCTTTAATGGCTGATTTTTGTTATTTTTGCTAGAGCACAAATTTTGTATAAAACATGCATGTGACAATTTTTGTACAGTCATTATATACCATGAAGAACCTAGGAAAAATATTAATTCTGTTGTTTGACACTTTTCATAGTACAAAGTAATTTCATGCTCATTTTTTTAGGCTATAGCTTGTCATTTTTGTGTAGGATAGTTTACTTATCCAAATGCCATGAAATTTTTATGGTAGTCTGTTTAGGGTAGTATTATGCTACTGTAATTTTCTCAGATTTTTAGGAGCATCAGAAATATAGGTTGCTATTCAAACCTATTATTAATTAAGGTTTAAGCAAGTGTTGCCTTAAGTGTGATTAAGAAATTAGTAAAGCTTTGGTGTATCTTTGAAGCATCTAATAAAATATGTTGACTTAACATATTGGTAGTAGAAGAGAATGCAGTAGATGACATGTGCTTGTAGCATAGTTTCGTGGATGATGTTGTCTACCTTGCCTTTCAACATATTCATTGCATTCATCTCCTTGATGCACCGATTGCATAGGCACTTACACGCATTGCATCATACAGGGATCGCAAACCGAGAGCCCATCGTCATTCCCGAGGAGCCCGAGGAGCATTTCGAGTCAAGTGCCGGGAAGTGCCGTAAGTCGACGAGGAGGACGTTGAAGAACTTCCGGAGTGCCCCGATCACCGTCCCGAGCTCCTTGAGAGAGGCAAGCCCCCGAGCATCTTTCTCCGGGTTTGCAAAGATTTCGTTAAATGCTTTACTTTAAATTGATGCATTACGTTCGGGAGTTGTTTGCAATCGTTCTTTGCATTATACCTTGTTTACCTTTGTTATACTATATCCTTGTTACCACGGTATCCGCAATGAAGTCAATGCTTAGTTTGGCTTAGACCGGTAGAAGTCGGGTGATTTCACATCACTGCGAGCTATAGGTGGTTACCCGGATCTGTTTGGATGGCTATGAAGTCATGGTATAACTAAGTGTTAAATGAAGTTGAGACCGGGCGAGACTTGCGGGGGTTTTGGACCGTGAGTGTTTCCGTCAGTGTCGATTAAGGACCGACCGTTGTTGGGCCTCGAGTCATGTTGAACGCATGCCTTACATTTAGTCGGCGGATAAAGTACCTTCCGACCGCGAAGGCCGGGAGATTTTTCGGGCGAGTAGATTGCCCATGACGCCTTGACTCTTGCCGGCAGTGTGGTAGGACACGGGCGGGATGATAAGACCAAAGTGCGATCGGTCGGCCCCCGGTACATGTGGTTCTGGCAAACTCGAGATACACGAAAGTTGACTCGGTGATCAATATCTCACTTTAGCGGGTGAGTGAGATTTGTGTAAGAATAAATCACCACCGGTTAGGAATCGATTGAATCGCCATCGCTCCCGGATAGTGAGCACTTGACTTGAGTTACTTCATCGTAGTAAATGTTTATGGAACACTTGGACAGTTATAGTGAATATGACAGTATGGAAGTTGTTTAATGATCAGTGGTTATCATTAATTGCTTAATCACATGTTTACTCTAGTATAGGTGCAAATCTAGTCGACAGGTTAATAATAATTAACTTGACAATAATGCTTTTAGAAAGGTTCTTGAAATGCTAAAAATGCTTCTTTTGCAAATGAGTCAGCTACCCTACTATAATGCCTGCATAATCCTTGGTGTCATTTATTTTCGGTTATGTCGGGTAAGTCTGGCTGAGTACATTCTCGTACTCAGGGTTTTATTCCCACTTGTTGCAGATGGGCAGATGTACTATGGCTATTGTATCAACTGCCTGTATCCTGCGATGGGTGATGCTTAGGACCATGGGCATGGTCATTCCTTACGTCTCGTCTAATGCTTTTGTTGGAGATGATCATCAGCTGGCACTATATTTGAACTACGTGTGAGTGTGTGTGGTTTTAAACAAATGACTTCCGCTACTTTTATTCGAACTTGTTTTGTAATAACTATGTTTAAACTCTGATGTATCTGTTATGGGAACTTTTATGTAATATGTGATTGGTGACCGCTAAACTTATTACGATCATGGCTGGGACACTAGTTGGTTTGAAATCCTTCGTGATTTCACGGACTACCGGGTTATCTGGGCTTAAGTTTGCTCAATCGCCTGCTGGTGGATGATTTTCTTACTTAATTTCATATAATTGGTCGGTTTCATATTACCGTGGCATCGAGCATGGTTTAGCGTGTTCTTGTTCACAAGTGTATTTAAAATAAAAAGGCATTTGGAAAACGTGATTTTAAAACTATAAAGTGTGCCGATGATCATATCCTTTATGCCCGATTAAGGACTTTAGGTGGCTTAATTAAGTATCTTGACTTGGGGTTCTTGCATCATATTTCTCTTTAAATCGCTCAAACGGCGTGCTATTGTATGAGTGCCACTTATTTGAGTGGTAATGAATGGATCAATTGCCTCTACGCCTCGGTAAGTGTGAGTTGTGAGAGCATGATCGGATACACCACCGATCTAGGGTGAATGCTTATATGATGTCTTTGGAGTAATTACATGTTCTACGCATGTTTTACAAAGGTATCTCATGTATGGGTCTTCCGTCATGGAGGCGATGCCGTCAATAGGACGATGGTTCGGGTAGTTACTACCGTTGTACACGTGTCTGGGGATTCATGTAGAGCGTGTAGATAAAACTTTCTTGCTTTTATGCATTCATTGGGAATTGGGCTGAAATGAATCTTCTGCGGTACATAACAACGCTTATCGTGTAGAACGATATTAACTACGTCTTGAGAGATCGTTGTATGCCACCGAACTTCGTCGTTAGAAATTATTTATTTCCTAAGTTTGTGAGAACGTCTTTGCGCGTACATACATCATGTTACTTGTGCATCTCATTCATCTCATGCATACCTCCCTTATAAATTGATTATCTC